TAGCTGAAACCTGCGAAACTTCAGGTGCTGCTTCAAAAACATATGGGTGGTTGTCAAAATTGTGGTCCCTTTTTGGGTCCTTATTATAATACGGCACCTATTATTTAGGGTACCCCAAAAGGGACCATAATTTTGGCAACTACCCATATTGTTGTTCTATTTTGGAAGCTTCTTACATGGCTCTCCAAATTCAAGCCCAAAGCGACTTCCCAGAGACTCCAAAACCCCTTAATTAAGGAATATACTTTAAATTATAATAGGAATCCTAATATGATTTAAGGTATACTCCTTAATTAAGGGGTTTTGGAGTCTCTGGGTTGCTTTCTAACACCTGGGGCGTTGATTCCAGGCTAGACTCGGCTAGGCCTCAACCCTACATTCTAAACTTTGAACCATTGAACCCTAAGTCCTGAATCCCGAACCTGATAACCCTTGGCAAGCTGTTCTTCCCCAGAGCCACATTCTGATGGAGCGTTTTGTTGTGTTCGGGTAGCTTTGGGGATTTCAGTGTAGGGTTTAGGGCTTGGGGACAAGACGAAGAATCTAGCAGTTTGATAGGGGCCTCAATATTCAAGACACGGTATCGGGAAATGATAATAGTGTCATGATAGAAGGAGTGTAGACTGTAGGGAAATATCCTGGAGCCAGAGCACTCGCTGTGGAGGAGCAGCAGGGCCGATTTCAAGGGACATGCGCGACAAACCTTTCGAGTAGTCTTTGGTGCTGTCTGTTGACACGCTCTATACTTAACCCCTAAACCCTAAACAACCCTAAACCCTAAACCCTAAACCCTAAAAACCCTAAACCCTAAACCCTAAACGCCTTGCGCCTCCAAGAGATGCTTCGGACAAGGCTCAGTGCTTCCTTTGGCTCAGGAAGCAGTGCAGCAGGTTCAGCTGCCCCGACGCTCCTGCTGAAAAAGAGCTCCGCGACGAGGCTTGGTCAATCCACCGGAATGAAGTTTGACTAGGAGTCTAAGGTGGAAAGGGGTTGGCAAGGTCTTCAAGAGGAACATGCAGGAGTGCAACGTAGCTTTATACTGCTGCCGGAAATCCTTGAACTTTTGCTTGAGCCAAGGTGTTCGACAAACTTGTCTGCAGTTTGGCACGGGCAGGCTTGACCAATGTAGCCAACCGAAAGCCAGAGTTCCTTGTTTGCTCGGAGTTCTAAGTTCAGAGTTTCGTTCCTCTACTTTCTATTCATTGAGTCCCACCAGATCCATTGGCCATGTCTAACGTGGCTTGGGCCTCATGTCACCATGTCCCGACTAGTCCCGGTTGGTCGAGCTAGTACCAAGGGTTCCGACATTATGTGTTTGATAAGTTGGTTCAATACTAGGCGTAGGCACCTGCGTCGGTTTGTTTCCACAATTCATCCTCGCGGTAAGTTCCTGTCCTCTGGTCGTTGTCCACAAGTGGACAACCCAGCAACGCAGGAATCCTTAAACTTCACATCTTATTATCAAGTCTATGAGTTCATCTTGACATCCTAACTGTCTTCCCTCATCTGTGGACAGCAGGGCACTGTAAGGATCCCGAAGCAGGCATCCTCATTTTTTCAGAAGCCCAGGAAATTCAACGCCCTAAAGCCGCGAGCATCGGGTCTTTACCAGAGGCTTCCGAAGATCGCCACAAGTTCTGAGACGAGCCGTGGGGTTCGTGGTTTAGGGTTTGAGTTTTGGGGGTAACGGTGTTGAGCTTACCTATAGTCTCCATTGTAGTTCCTTTTTGTGGTTTAACCAGTTCTATATGAAGGATTCTATAAGGTAGCCCCAAAAAGGAACTACAATGGAGACTATAGGTATGCCTTTGGTTGATGGCCATGGCAGCCCTAAGTGATACTTGGAGGATCGTGCAGGGGCCAGAGAAGTTGAGGCTTCGGGGTCGTAGAAAGGTCCCATGAGGGTAGCATATAAGGTTAGTACGAGCGTTCTGTAACATAGAGTCACCTTGAACGAAGATCATGACAGTCGGCAGGTTCTTGGGGGTTGAACCTTACCAGTTGAGTTTCACGCGCTCAGCATGCTTCAAGGAAAATGGAGGCACTGAACTACGCAGAGAAAAGCCCTGATACTTCTTTAGCCACATGCAACACGCAAATCACCGTACATCTAAAACCCTCATACTCAAAGCCCTGATGCTTCCCTTATAAGTACTCCTATAGAACTCTCTTAAAGCAGAAAAGCCACCTCCCTGTGGTAATTGCCTTCTCACCCCTTGGTTTAGGACTTGGGGTTCAGGGGTCTTGCGACTAGGGTTTCGTGTTGCCGGCTTTAGTGGTTTAGAGTCCAGGGCTTTAGGGCTTAGGGCTTATAGGGATTTGGGTCTAGGGGTTTCGGGTTTGGGATTCTGTTTCAGGGTTTTGTCGAGCCCGAAGGCGAAATCTCGAAATGCGACCGCCTTGATTCAAGTGTCCCCAAAGGCGCCTGGTTCAGGGGTTATAGGGTTTGGGGTTTCGGTTTTGAAGGTTTTAGGCTGTAGGGTTCAAGGTATAACTGCAGCTGAGCCCCGAACCTCCTTGCGAACATCTACCTCCTCAAGCTCTGCATCGCCCGAGTCCCAAATCCTGAGTCGTAGGCACATGTCCCAGTCGCAAAGCCCTTGAGTCCGCAGCCTTTCCCCAAAGGCTCCATGTAGTTTACTTATAAAGATAGGCCTTGATACTTACTATTATAAGGCCAGCATGTGTATATATATATATATATCCACCATATATATATATATACACACATATGCATATATATATATATACTATAGGACCACCAATAATTAAATAACTAAATAAATAAATAAATATTATATATATATATATAGAGAGAGAGAGGTACATGGAGCTTCGTTAGGGTTTCGCAAGTCTTCCGTGCCAGGCGCGGCGCACGTCCGACTAACGCGAGGCGGGAGGGCTCCTGTTGAGGGCTTCAGGTCACTTCAGGGGTTTGGGTGCTCGGGCTTAGGGTTTAGGGCTCAGGGTTTAGGATTTATAGGGCTCAGGGTTTAGGGCTTAGGGTTTAGGGTTTGGGGCTTAGCGTTTAGGGCTTTCGGTTTTGGGGCTTAGGGTTTAGGGCTTAGGGCTTTGGATTTAGGGTTTAGGGCTTAGGGTACGGAGCCCTCTGGATAGCTGCATTTTAAGGCAAATCGCTACATGAACGATGTGTGTAGCTGAACTTTGGGGGAATGGTAGCTGAACTTTGGGGGAATGAGATTCGATTCATCATCACATGTCGTACTCCGCTCCCATTGCGAAATCAGGTCCGACAGCCCTACGGTATTCTACATCCCTCAGATCCTCGAGCCTGACTTCTTGTACAAAGCCCGAAGACGAAAGCGCTCAGTTTTGTGTGTTCTATCATCTATCAAAATCCCACCTAAAACTCGCGACAAACTCCAAAACCCTAAACGCATCTAAACCCCAAAGTCCCAAGTCCATAAACCCCTACAGCCCAAAGCCCAAAAGCCTAAAGCCCTAAAAACCTTAAACCCTCATACCCTAAAAGCCCTGAAGCCCTATAAAACCCTAGAAAAGCCCAAACAACCTGAACTATTCACTTAGTGACTGAATAGATAACCTTTAACCTTTTGCGGCTTATATAACCCGACTACAGCTCAAAGGGTTAACCTTCTTTGGGCTAAACCCTAAACGCTTTATAAACCAGCCCTAAACCCTGAATCCTAAACCATTTGTAATTGCAAACCCTCAACCCTAAACCATTATAAACCCTACAGTAAACCCTTTGTAAAGCCTCCATTATAAACCCTCAACCCTAAACCATTATAAACCCTAAACTCTAAACCATTATAAACCCTACAGTAAACCCTTCATAAACCCTCAACCCTAAACCATTATAAACCCTAAACCCTAAACCATTCTAAACCCTACAGTAAACCCTCTATATAAACCCTAAACCCTAAACCATTTTAACCCTAAGCCATTATATACCCTAAACCATTATAAACCCTAAACCCTCGACCATTCTAACCCCTACAGTAAACCCTTATAAACCCTAAACCCTCAAACATTCGAAACCATACACCCTAAACCATTATAAACCCTAAACCCTCAACCATTCTAAACCCTACAGCAAACCCTTCTGATTCAGAGGCCACGAGCAGCTTTGCGCTCGATCAATCCGGACAGAGGGGTCCTGCTGGGGTCGGGGCTTAATGGGTTTAGGGTTAGGGTTTAGGGCTAAGGGTTTAGGGTTTAAGGTTTGGGGATTATGGCTTAATGGGTTTAGGGCTTAGGGTTTAATGCTTTTGGGTTTTGGTTTTAGGTCTTGGGCTTAGGGCTTAAGGGTTTAATGGGTTTAGGGCTTAGGGTTTAAGGCTTTTGTGTTTGGAGTTTAGGTTTTGGGCTTAGGGCTTAATGGTTTAATGGGTTTATTTGGCTTAGGGTTTAATGGGTTTAGGGCTTAGGGATTAAAGGGTTTAGGGTTTTGGGTTCAGGGCTTAATGGGTTTAATGGCTTTGATGGGTTTTGGGTTCAGGGTTTAGGAGTGCTGGGTTCTTTTGAGGGCTCCTTTTGCGGTTCCCTTAAGGGTTCTACAAGTGCCGTGTGAAGGTTCTATAGGAGTTTAAGCGTTTGAATCGTTTCAGGTGTTGTTTTTTGAGTGGGGAAGGACGGGTGGGGACCGCTTCGGGTGTGTTTAGGGTTTCGGGGATTAGTGCAGCATCTAGCTTTCCCTTAAGAGCGGAAGATCAGAGTTACCCATGTTTGTCTTGTGGCAGGTTCTGTGGCAGTTGATAAGTTTGGGGCTTGGTGTTGTTGAGCTTCAGGCTATAGATCTCCTGGGCTTTGGATTGGAGTACCATACGTTAATACTTTTTTTGGGAGGACCTGTTCCTTAAAGGAACCACTATGAAATAAAAGTCTATACCTTTTTTCTCCCTGGCTACTTCAAAGCCCAGTCTCGCAATTTCAGACTTCGTCAGGGCTAGAGTTCGTGGAATTCCGGGGTCTCGGCCTGAACCACTCGCAAGGTGCACGTGGGGTGTCGGGTTCACTACCCCAAACTGGTACTCCGGGAACTTCGAGATTCGCTCCTTGCAGAACTGCCGGAAGCTGACCCGAAGTCTTTGCAGTGGGCTACGTGGAGGAGATGTTCCAGCTTTTAGACCTGCTGGCAGAAGTACCTCCAGCCAGCAAGGAGGCAGGCGACGCCAGCAACCGCATCACTGAGGAGCATGACGAGGAGCTGATGCCTCTTCACCCATAGGCCCTAAAGTAGTTCCTTGTTGGGGTTCATGTATAGAAACCTATAAGGTAATCCCCAAAAGGAGCTACTATGGGGCCTATGGGCAAGCTCCAGTTGGCCGCAGGCAGCAGCCTTGGGCGCCGGACACCGGTGCCAAGAGTGCGGAGGGTGGTGGAAATCGGCCCACATAGTGTTATAAGTAAGGTGACTATGACTTACATCTCATTGCAACCGGAATTAAAGTACAGATTTGACTTGTAGCCCCCTTTTTTGCTAAGTCCCGGATCCACTGAGCACAAGGCCCTAAACTCCAAACCCTAAAATCGAAACCGACTGTCTTTTGGCACTCCCTGGCTCGCCTATGACAGCTTAAAGGATCATGGGACTTAGTAAGTAGGGTTATAATTAGGGTAACTATACTTATAACCCCAATTAAGGGACTTATAGCCTTACTTCCTAAGTCCCATGATCCTCCAAGAGGGTAATCATGAAAGGCCTCAGTCCCAGAGGGTTCAGATGCCCTGTACTTTTGGCCCCAAAGACCTCGAAAGGGACGACGATTATTCCGCCAAATGTTGGTATTCTTTGAGTACATGGACCCTTAAGGGCCTTAGGGAAGACCACATCACCTGATTCCAAGCTCCTGAACACAGCATGAAGAAGTAATTAGAAATATAGCCCCCCATAAAGTCCCTATATACCTCTTCAACACCATGCTATACTCGTAACACTCTGTTCCCTAAGCCCCAAACCCTAAACCTTGTTTTATGAAGGCTCCATCGCTTTGGGTTTGATCCGACTGTAGCATACGTACCACAGTCTTGGTGTGGGAGTGTAGGGTTTAAGAGTTAGCTAAGGTTTAAGCTTTGGGGTTTATGGCTTAGGGTTTAGTTTAGGGGTTAAGTTGCCCTAACCCCTAAACCCCAAACCCTAAACCCTAAACCCTAAATCCTAAACCCTAAACCCTAAACCCTAAACCGGGGTTTGGGGTTTCAGAAGGACAATTTCAGCGGTGTTTGCGAGCAGACGGGCGTGACGCTGAACCGCTACATGATCGAGGCCTGCCCTGCGAAGCATGGGTTTATAGGGTTTAGGATGTAGGGTTTGGGTTTTGGGGTTTAGGATTTAGGGTTTAGGCTATTCGGTTTAGGGTTTCGGGTTAGGGTTGAGGGTTTAGGGTTTAGGATTTAGGGTGTAGGTTTTAGGGTTTAGGTTTTAGGGTTTAGGTTTTAGGGTTTAGGTTTTAGGGTTTAGGGTTTAGGGAAGCCTTCACTGCAAACCCGAAGCTCCAAGTACCTAGGGTTCAGGGCTCAGGGTAAATACTGTTTGGGCTGCTGACAGCTATTCCCCAAATCTCGTGGTTTGCGAATTATCCCGTTTAGGGTTTGGGTTTAGGGTTTAGGGTTTAGGGTTTCTAGTTAGTTGTGTTTGTGCGGCTTGCGCTCCGTATTGAAACTGAACACACACGGGTTAGCACGGGGTTTATCAGGGGTTGCTATAGGTTCGGCTTTAGGGCTCAGTGTCTAACGGCATTGGGACAGTAAGAAGACTTTCGGGGCGTGGACGATACATGCTTGCTGTTAGGGGCGATATTTGGAGCCCCAGATGTTCAAATGCTTATACCTGGACCCCGAAAGCATTTGAAATAATAGCCGGTCATGGGTCTTGGGCCATTACTTTACTTAGATTTCAGGGTTCAGGTAAGTCCTTGACTGTCAAAGCCTCATGGACGGCTCAATCCCTAAAGCCAAAAATGTGAATCGGCCAACCCTACACCCTGAAAGACACAGCAAGTTTCAATGTCCTGATGCGCTGAGGTAACCTCCGTCCTTGACCCTTATAATTCTTCTCCAGGAGCCTACTTGACCTCTGTAATCCTATCGGCTGTGCGGTTTCGCTTTAGGGGGCAATGGCTGGAGAGTAGCATTGAAGGCTCCCCATACCAAACTGCTGCACATTTAAGAGGTCTTATCGGGGTTTAGGCTTTAGGGCTTGGGGACAATCCTGCAGTTTGCGCTGGTTGGTTCCGTCGGATTCGCACATGTGCAGCCAGCGCGGCTCTCTGTATCGATCCCACACCCTTGCAAGCCTAAAGCCAAAGAACTCAGACGCCGAAGCCCGACACCGCTAAATAGTATCTAAAGTCGTAGGTCGCTTTTGACCTTGTCGTGCTTACATAGTGCTAGCCTAGGTCAAAGATTAAGCCGCTTGGGGGTCCCGGCAAGCCCTCAGCGAAGGTCATATCCGCTCAGCCTGAAGTCTAGTCATGCCTTAGTGACTGCAGGATGGATTTCAATCGGCTCAAAAAGCCTTTCGCGCTTTAGGCTTACAGGGTTTACGGGTTTGGGGTTTAGGGTCTAGGGTTTTTAACGGTTTGGGGTTTAGGGTTTAGGGTTTTAAGGGTTTGGGGTTTAGGGTTTAGGGTTTTAAGGGTTTGGGGTTTCATACCTCTCCCCGCCGAGCCTGGAATTGAATCGTCCCCAAGAGATCCACCCTCCTCCCTTCCTCGTCTCGCAGGCGAACAGACAAGGTGTGGTGGACAGTGATGTGCTTTCCGCCGCGAACTGAGTGATGTTTAGGGGCCTGAATGATTTGTAAGACTTACCCCAGGGCCCCTTGAGGTTTATGGACCGCGAAACGCTAGTCGAATTATTCAGACCCTAAACCGGTGCAAGACATCTAGCATTAATAAGAACCCGTTCGTAGAAAACCTGTTATCGAACCTTTCATAGGGACCGCAAAGGTACCTTGTGCGACCCCTTCTGGCTCCCTGTATAGAGCCCTTTATAAGCCCTGACAGTGTGAGTAGAAGATAGAAGCTTGAATTATTTTAGTACTATTTTTTCGGGGTCCGTATTGTGGCCAATGAGTAGTATACAGAAAGTACTGTTCCGTAGTTTTCAACTTCATCTGATGCTGGATTGCTCGTAGTAAAACATGCTTACAGTACCTAAGTCCACAACCTTAACCCCCCGACCCTAAACCGACTCTGACATTGTGCCTTGTTCATTTCCCAGGCTTGTTTAGGACAGTCGATACAGCTTCAAGTTGAGTTTCCAAATCTCTTTTTCTAGGGATGAAGACAGGTGTTCTTTGTGGTTCGTGGGGTTATTGTAGGATTTAGGCTATTGTGCGAGCTTCTGTTTCCGTGGCAGCAAGCCACATCGACCCTAAACTTTTCACCGTCACCATTAAGCCATCAGCCAGAAACCAAAGTAGCTTGAAGGCTACTCGAGTCCCTAGAATTAGAAAACTTCGAAATCACGTGAATCCTTGCGCAACTGTTCAACTCTAAGCCTAAGTCCCTGGAGCCCCGAATCTGGACGAGTTTGGGCCAGAAGTTGTGCAAGGTCGTGAGGCTTTGGAGGTAGGATGTAAGGTCGGACCCTGACAAAGGCTTAAGGCTTGGGATTAGGGCCTTCGGTTTGGGGTTTAGGATGGTGTAGATAAAGCCATACCGCAGAAAGGGACATCAGTGCGCACCCGAAGCGCACTGTAGAGGTGGAATAAATTTTAGCAACAGCAACAGCATGCTTCATGCTTGTCGTCGCTGCATATTTACACTACAACGTACCCCCCCACCCGAAGTTTTTATCTCCTAAACCCGTAAGCCCCCATAGAACCCCTGTAGATTGTCTGATCTCCTCAGGTGTTCAACTCCATCCGAGAGGCAGGGGAATGCAACGACTCTGTAAGGGATTTTGGCGATGCCACAGGGAGTTGTGTGGATTTTTCCAGAGATACATTCATAGGCCTCTATAATCCCTAAACCGTAAACAAGCCCAAACTAAACCCTACCCCCTTAAAACCCTAAACCCTCAAGTGGACGGGGCTTCATAGTACGTATGCGCAGAAGCCTTGACCATATTTTGAGGATTTACGACTTTCGAGCCTGAAAGGGCTCCATAAGGGCCCGCAGAAATTTTACAATACGGTTTGGATGGGGGTATGTTATACCCTTAAAGACCAAACCCTAAAGAATTAACCAGCTGTAACTGCAGTGACGTTATTGCAGAGTATCGCAGGCCACCTGCCATGGTGTTAGAAAGCCTGGGGACTGGCGGTTCAGTTTTTTTTTAAGGGCTTGTGTTAGGGTTTAGGGTTTAGGGTTTAGCGTTTAGGGTTAAGCTCCCAAGAGTTGAAGATTAGGGTTTTTCCTCGGTTTGGGGTCGAGTGTTTGGGGGGGTTAGGGCTTCGGGACTCAGGGTGGGTGAAGAACCCGGAGCCCCTAAGCCCCAAGCACCGAACCGGAAAGCCGAACACTACGCCCTTACCTACAGTCTCCATTGTAGTTCCTTTTGTGGTTTAACCAGTTCTATACTAAGGATTCTATAAGGTAGCTCCAAAAAGGAACTACAATGGAGACTATAGGTAACCTCAGACCCTAAACCCTGCTAAATTGCCCTGGGCCTGGTTCATTGGGAGCCCATTGGGCAACCTAGGGCCCTGTGGGGGTTTCTTGTATTTAGGGTGTCTTGTGCGGAAGTCCCCTAGTGGAAAGACTAAATCCAGGGTTTAGGGTTTAGGGTTTAGGGTTTAGGGTTAAGGGTTAAAGGACAAGAGAGTTTCTATAAGGAGTTGCTAAACGAACTGGGGAGCCTGCCTATGTGGCTGTTGCGGGGACTGGTGTTATGAACAAGTGCCATGTCAACCATATCGAAACACCAGAGGAGAACCTGCCGACGGTTAGTGGAGAGATTAAGTTGCTCGAACCCTTATATATACATAGGTTCAACGTCTTGGGGGTTTAATCCGTTTTTAGGGCATATCCCGGAACGGGGATTTGTCTCAGAACTCTTCGAAACCCTAGGTCCCGGCACCTAAAGACCCTCCCGAAATACCCTTCGATCCTCACCCCGACCCCACGCCTAGCTTCCTCAGCGGTATACCCGGCCCCAAACCAAAAATCCCAAGCCTTCCGAACTCTTCACAAAATCCTGAACCCTAATCCACCCGGAGCCCTGAAGATATGTTGCAGGCTACCAAAGTCATCTCGAAGCTGGTAAACACGGCGCCACTGGCCCAGGCTGCGGATGGATCTGGGATTCTGGGGCTGGGTGTTTAAGACTGGGCTTAGGGTTCAGGTTTTAGGTTGGTATAGCCCCTATGGCGTCTGAGGACCCCAAGATCAGAGTTTTGCAGCTTAGACACCATTTAATATAGAAGCCTGTATCATTACTAATATTACTATAGGGTTCTTTATACTAAGATTACTATAAAGGAGCCCAAAACCCTATTCTAATAATTAAGGCCCCTATACTACACAAGCTTACGAAGTCCCATATATTGAACTTTAAGCCCTCAGCCATTGCAGACAATTTGCTTTAAGCAGCCTCGTAGAGTCTGATGGGTTCCCGTGACCATTTACCAGCTCAACCTTGTTCAAAAACTCGGAAAGCTTACCAGCAGTCCTGATCATTTACATCTGAGAACCATGAAGTAAGCCCTTGTGGAACCTTTCTGGAGCCCCTCTAGAGATCCTAATGGATCCAGCAAGGTCCCCTGATGCATACAGACACGCATCTCTTCAACATAGCCCATGGCGACCCATAAACTTTATAGCCGCCATGGTCATAAACAACTCGAAACCTTCAAACCCTAAGCCCTGAACTTAAATGCAGCTTACTCAACCCCTGGATCCGCGTTAACCAGCCGTTAGCTAGTGTGTGTGTGTATATACATATAGAAATTTTACGTATGTATACGTATATACATATATATATATATATATATACACACATACATATATATATATATATATATATGTAGATGTATTTACACATAGCTGTTTTATGTTCTGCTATACATATAAACATATACATATACGTGTACATGTGCATGTACATGTATGTATATACATACACACATATACAACATATAACTCTAAGCGTATATATATATATATATATGTGTGTGTGTGTGTGTATGCATGCCTCTGGAACCCTTAAGACTTGAGAATCATTTTCCTCCGTTCTGATCCTTTGAGTGCAGGCCGAGCTGTTGGGGCTCCAGGGTGAGGTCAACGTCCAGGGGGAGGCGCCCGCCGAGTTCCCGCGTTCTGCGAGTCCTTTTTTGTTTGGGTGGACCCAGCGGCCTTAACAATTAGAAAAAGGCCAATAGGGTTTTGGGGTATATTATACTATAATTATTAAACTAAGGAACCCCCTTTTTTTCAGACGAGTGTAGGCTTTGGGGTTAAGGATGAGTCGTGTTTGTACGTTCTAACGCGGGAGGCTCGATCCTTGGCTGGTGCCAAACCTCAAACCCGAACATGTGGCCGGAGACTACATACATCCTAAACCTCAATAAGTTCTCCCGGGTAGTAATGAGCAGCTCCGCTTGCAAGAGTTGGGCTTTGAGCAAGGACTTAGGGTTTTGGTTTAGGGCTTTAGGGTTTAAATTAGGGTGTAGGAGTTACGAGATTACGAAGGCTGTCCGTGCGCGAGCTTTGGGCTTGGCTGATGAAGGCAGTGAGCCACAGCAGTATGACGAAGTTAGGTAGGCCTCTTAGGGGTTTAGGGTTTAGAGTTTAGGGTATTGCAGTTGTGAGGATCCTATTCCGGAATATTTCCAGAGGCTTCAAAAGGCCCACCTGGAGGTATGCTTTGGGAAACCGGCGTTCCTCTGATTGTGGCTGACGGCTTCATGCCCTTCAACTCGAAATCGTAACTCCTACGATGTGCTACTACCTAAACCCTAAACCCTAAACCCTAAACCCTAAACCCTAAACCCTAGGCTTAAAGCCCGGAGCAGCATAAGGCCCCAACAAGCCCTGAAGTCTCACGGAAAGTTCAAGCCGACGTGGAGGACCAGAAGAAGCTGGATGTCATCACCAACGATGTCTTGAAGAAGGCTCCTGAATGAGCGTCATCAGCGGTTTGAGGCTTTAGGCGTTTAGGTTTCAGGAACTGGTGTTCAGAATTTAGGATGCTAATATAGGGGCCTAAATATATTATTTTGGGGGCTCCTTATTATAATCATAGAAAAATATACCCCAAAACTATTAAGGCCCCTCCATTAGGTTGAAGTGGTTTAGGGCATCTCGGTCTCGAGTTGAGCATTCAGCGTTTCCTAAACCCTAAGCCGGAGTCAAAACCCTGACCCCGATGAAGCCCAAACATTGGGAACAGTTGGGCCCTTTTAGGGCTTAGGGTCTACCTATAGTCTCCATTGTAGTTCCTTTTGTTGGTTTAACCTGGTCTATATTAAGGATTCTATAAGGTAGCCCCAAAAAGGAACTACAATGGAGACAATAGGTAGCCCCCATTTAGCCCTTGAAGCCCTGAGCCCCAAATAACTCCAAAGCAGTACACCCAAAGCCCCACGCCCCAAGTCAAAACTAAGTCACCAGAGACAGGCGCTCAAGTACACGGGCAAGCTTGGAACCATGGCGTCGGAAGAGGAGGAGCCAAGAAGGGTTAGGGCCATCGGATTTTCGAAGAGCTTCTGGTTTAGAGTCGGTTTGGGGTTTAGAGTGGGCTGTGGTTATGAAACCCTGCGCTGATCCTGGGTACTGCAGCACTCAAGCCGCGCCAGACTCCAAGATGGGTTTCTAGGATTTAGGGTTTATAGGGTTCAAGGTAGGGTTACCTTTAACTTAAGGAGTGTACCCGAAGGCCAAAAGCATAGTATTAATATCAACGCCCAGAAACCCTGCAGGGCCTAAGCCCCAAAACCCTAACCTCAACCCTGAGCCCGAAGCCCTAAACCCTGGATGGAAAAAGGAGCTCAACAAAAAAGAACCTGCAACCCTAAACCCTAAGCCCCAAAACCCTCAGCCCTAAACCCAAATCCCTATAAACCCTAAACCCTGAAAGCCTAAACCCTAAACCCCGAAGCCCAGCTTCTCAGTAGTGAGTTTTCTCCGCCTTGGGTGCAGGACGAGCCGGTGAGTGCAAGCCTGGAGGTCTCACGGCCGATGTCTTGGGGGATTTTCGGTTTAAGGTTTAGGGTTTAGGGTTTAGGGTTGAAAGGTTTTGGGGTCAAGGGTTTAGGGTAGGTTGAAAAGGGTTTCTTGCAGGGTGATTTGTGGATAGATTCAGGTCAATTGAAGGGGTTTTTCGGTTCCTGTAAGGGTGATAAAGGCTTTTGGGGTTTAGGTTGGTCGGGTTTAGGGCTTTAGGGTTTTAGAGCATTCGGGCTTGCACGGTTCTCTAGGATTCGGGGAATCTGCGAGGTTTTGGGACTATACAGGTGTTGTTTTCTTCTGTATGAAGGGACGTGTCACAGAAGCCTTTTGTGGCTTACCTTTAAAGGGGAGGGTATCTAAGGAGAACTAAGGGGGTTGCGGCTTTTGGGTTCGGAGGTTGAGGCTTTTTTTAGCTTGACGGCTTCGGGTGATACTTGAGCTCGTTGTGATTCTTGGGTACCTGCGGTTCTTGACACAGGGTTCCGCAAACAGAGTCTTATAGGGTTCTGTAGAGGCCCGCTGTTGGCACGCCAACTGCCCTAGATTTCTGAAGTTTGTTGGCTAATCAGAAGAAGCTTCTTGACAGGCTTTACACCAAGGCAGCAAGCAGAGGTGACATTTATGCTGCAGTCCGCGCAAAATAACCTAAAAAGCTAGACCCTAAACCCCCCCTCCCCCAACACCCAATCCCCTAAACCCTAAACCTCTTAGCCAAAAAAGCAGACAAATCAAGAAACCCCTAAGCCAGCAAGAAGCAAACGGCAGCTCGCCGACTGTGCAGGGGCTAGGATCGGTGTTGGCCGACACCGGCAAATATGCCGCCGGGCTTTTTCCGACGCTGCGGGTTCTGCTTTTCGGAGTTGGCAGGTTCTGTTTTCGGGGGATTGGGCTGCTTCCACTGTTTCGGGCTCCACTGTCAGCACTTGAGGTGAACTTTTGAAATTGCACCACAGCCCCGCAAGAAAATCTGTGTTCTTCGAAACTCTGAACCCTAAGCCCTAAGTCCCTACTTATGCAACAACCTTCAACTCTCACCTCATCTAGACATTTGTTCTCGGGCTGACAGAAAGCCAGACCATCAGGGAAGCGACACTCAGGTTAAGTTTTGAGGTTCCCAAAGCAAGGCAGAGAGAGACAGAGGAGAGGGAATCAGGGTTTGAGGATTCACAGCTTGGGTTGAAGTTTCGGGGATAAAGTTCAGTAGTAACTTGCAGAACTCATGTCGGCCGGAACCCCTAAAACCATAATCGCCGAATCTTGGTTATTTTTGTCTGAACTACTCCGACATCCCTAAACCCTAAACCCTAAACCCTAAACCCTAAACCCTAAACCCTAAACCCTAAACCCTAAACCCTAACCCGTAGATGCCTCGGCTGTCCTAAGCAGCTAACCGTCCCTGGCTCCGAGGTGTGCGTGTGGGGGCCTCAGCACACCTTTGCGCTAGGGTTTAGGGTTTAGGGTTTAGGGTTCAGGGTTTAGGGTTTAGGGGTTCGGGTTTAGGGTTTAGGGTTTAGGGTTATCAGGGTTTTGCGTTAGGGGGGGGGGGGGCCTCAAAGCAAAGCCTTGTTCGTCGGCTACCTGTGACCCCAAACCCTACAAAATAGTAGGTTATGAGCCCTTAACTAGAGGGTGTAGAACCCTTAAAACGGTCGGCTAAATACCCTATCCCCCCAGGTACGTACTATATAGGGTACTAGAGCCCCGAGGGCCCTATATAGTAGGTACTTGAGGGGTTAGGGTCAATGCGACCTGCAAGGCACCAGTCCTCACCAGATGCATTGACGCGCCGAAACGCTGCAGAGCAAAGTGTGTACCCCTGCATAACCCCCCCCCCCCCCCCNNTAAACCCTGAACCCTGAACCCTATCACCTTCAGGCCAGGGTTGTCGCAACGGAGTTGTTTCGGGGCTTCTGGAAGTTGGAGGTATTTTTCCAGAGATTGAGGCATCTCGGACTCTCAACGTTCTCTGCCCACAACCAAAAACCAAATTATCGAATATAGTATCCAATAGCATGAGAGCAAAGTACGTAAGTATGAGGTCCTGAAGCCCTAGACACTTTCTCCAAGAATATGCCATGCCCCCCGAATGCCAATTGCCCGAAAACTGAAATCCCTTTTAACCTTAGCCAGCTCCACGTTGAGAACTTAACTTACGCTTTTGGATCTTACCGCCCTCATGCGACGTCCTGAATCGCTCTTGCAGCAACCCTCACATTTATGTAGAAACCCAGAGCCCATGTCACAGACCTCGGACCTTAAGCAGATCTTCATAGGGGTAACCCTAAACCCTAAACCCNNCCCTAAAAACCCTAAACCCTGAAAGGTTCGACCCCTTGGATGGCAGCAGCAACGTCGATGCCGGCATCGCCGTTGGAACCATCTTTGGCATCTTCTCGGAGGGGCTCTGGGAAAAGGCTTAGGGTTTATAGTTATAGGGTTTAG